ATTTTGAAAACTTGCATTTACTATATCTAACAACGGTCTAATCTTAAACGATTTATCGCCCTTACTTTAATTAGCTTTGGAAGATAGGCATTTTTGCTCATAGCATTTTTCATAACAGGTTTTCCCAAATCGTCATCGTCTGACCAATAATCGCACTCAGATGGTAAACTGTGGTACTCGTTAAATACAAAAAAAAAAGTCAATAAAAATTTTGTTCTCATCTTTTGTGAACAATCAAAACGGAAAAGCAACGGAAAATATTTCCTCAACTTAGCAATAGCGGGTCAAGCAATATTAATATGTTCCCCTTGGTTTTGTGGAGATATTGTTGAACGACATATCTTTATAATGATAGGGACTAACGATATATTCCAAAAAACTTCACTATCCCAACTGAAATCCCAATATTCTCACCTCTTCCGCTCCCTTCTGTCCTTAAATCCTAAAGGAATATAAATAGGCACAATTCCTCCCTGCAAAAACTTCGAATCTGTCAACGTAACGTTTGTTAAATATTTAATACAAAATTCCACACAGGGACGGCATTCACTTAAATGAGCAAGGGTTGGAAACGGTGTGGATCGCGGTAGCAAGTAACTATAGTATTCTCCATTCGTTACATAATTTTGTTATATGCAATACAGACAATTGATATAATCAATTTCTTTCTCTATCAAACGTTTTTTTTCTATCAAAAACCCACCTTCTAAATCAAGGGTGGTTCAAATTCGATGTCCGAATAGGCTATCTCGGAAACTATAAAAGTTAGAAAAAAAGTAGCCTGTGACATGTCTCGATCTCTTTTTTCAAATAAATTCCAATGTCGAAAATCTCAAAGCGTAAATTTATCTTACCTACATAAAGAAATAAGGCGCGACGTCCTGTCTGGGACGAACTATCTGTTCCGATTGGACGGAACCCCCGTCACCCCGCAGAGCTTGCTTTGTCGCAATTTTTTTTATCGAATGGTTGCGAAGATATCGATCTCTAAAGTGTGGGGGCTTGACTTTTTGCACTTTGATAGTAGTGTCGTCGAAGAAATGAAATTTACAGTTTCCTGTAAATTACGTTAACTTTTTAGATTTTACCTACCGCCCGGTAAAATCTAAAAAGTTAACAATTAAATAAGAAGATAACTTCTGGTATTAATAAGTAATTTAATAAGCGAATTATCACTGATTGTTTCTATTTAAAGAAAAGGAAAATTGTTATATCTCAAAATCTAAAACCGACAAAATTTTTTTGACTACGTCATGAAATTCTCTGTAAAAAAGTGTCCATATAATGTCGTAGTTATAATACTCCACCTATAATAATAACCAAGATAATTGCACTTGCTGGTTTTACGAGATTTTCAATTTTGGCCTCTAGGAGAAAAACAAAAGACGATAGCACTTTGAGGTTTTCGACATTGGAATTTTTTTAAAAAAAAGAGATCGAGACATGTAAGCTACTTTTTTCTAACTCTTATAGTTTCCAAAATAGCCTATTCGGACATCGAATTTGAACCACCTGTACGTATAAATATAACGTACAGAATATAACAAGAAATTTTTTTTCTCGAAAACCGTTAAGGGTTATGGTGTTCAAAGTCCGCGTCGCGCTATTCAGGTGTCCGGAAATTGCGTTTATATATTTAAAGAGATGATACACCAAAAATCATAAAGAAGAGTATTATATAAAGTCCGGTTCGAAAATGCTTCCTAAGGGCGCTAGAGCCCTTTAAAGATGGTACTCAAGAAGTATTTTTTAGCGTAATCTCAAAAACGATAAGGTCTAGAATGCCGAAATTTAGTGTACAGGGACATTTTTACGTGACAAATATGATAATCAAAAGAAAAAAATAACTTATGTGGTCTAACATAATAGGTAGAGGACGCGATTAAGGTACCACGTTTATTTTATCTTTATTTTTTTACCATTTTCAATGCATCAATCAATTCTGCGGAAAGAATTGTCTAAAACCAGTCGTTTCCAAGAAAAATTGCATTAAACGATTTGTGGCATAAGTAAAAGTACAACTTTTTTTTTCTAAATATCCTAGTTCTTTCATATTAAAGGTTCTAAAAAGGAAGTTGTATGTTCGGAAACACTTCTGCATACAACCTCCGAGCTTCCCGAGCATTTTCATCGCCCTTACCATACATAAAATGGATATTGGTATACTCTTCGAATGAATATTCAACTATTTTGAGAGTTTTAATAGCAATTTGAATTCAAAAATAGGTTATAAGTGCTTTTTATTCATTGTTTGACAGTAATAGGATATACAGGTGTATCTGAATGACTGCAACAAACTTTAAGGGGTGATTCTTTAGTGAATTTTAAGGGTACTTTGATATATGAACCATGGGCGACTTCGGCTCCCCTAAGGAGCTACACCCCTCCAAAAATGGCGGAAAATTTTGGTTTAATTTTTTTTTCTCAAAAACCATAAACGCTAGGAAAATGAAATTTGGGGAATATGTTTAACTCATAATAGGGCACGTTTTGACCCTATTTGTACTTTCAACCTACCCTTCTAAACTACTAAACGTAACCACCCCCGTTCAATTTATGCCTAGATTTTTTTTATGAAGATGATAAATACATTGGAAAAATTTCAGTTAGATAGATAAAACTATTCTAAAACTTTTTTGTCTCTCTGATGTTCTTCGAAAATTTAATAATTTCTGAGAAAAAAAATAATTAAGCAAACACTAACTGTTAAGCTGTAGGGTTGTTAATCGAAAGTTGGAATGAATTTTTAATGAAAAAATCTTAGTAGGCTTTGCAATCTTTGTCAGAAATATTTTTGACGTTTAAATATCAGTGGTTTTCTTACTTTATTATTGTTTTATTTAAAATTTTGAAAAGTCGAGTGAACGAGCGTAAATGCGATAGAATCTTTATTCAAAAATTAATTTGAAAAACTATAATAATAGTAAGAAAAACTGACATTTAAACGTCAAAAATATTTCTGACAAAGATTGCAAAGCCTACTAAGATTTTCTCATTCAAAATTCATTCCAACTTTTGATCGATAACCCCGTTGTTTAACGGGCATATAACTTTCCCCATAACGGGGAAAAATTTCAGAGAGATAAAAAAGTTTTAGAATACTTTCATCTATCTATGTAAAATTTTTCTAATGTATTTATCATCTGCATAAAAAAAATTTTCGCAAAAATTCAAAGGGGTTTGAAGTTTGTTGCAGTCATTCAGATACACCTGTATACTAGGATATTGAGAAAATATTTTAAAATTGATTTTAATGCCATAAATTGTATAATGCAATTTTTCTTGAAAACGACTGGTTTTAGATAATTTTTTAAGTAGTACCTTTTTTATGTATTCTTTTCCGCAAAATTGGTTGATGCAGATAAAATGGTAGAAAAAATAAAGATAAAAAAAGTATAGTACCGTAAACGCGCCCCCTACGTGTTATGTTGAACCCCATAAATTATTTTTTTTTCTTTTAGTTATCATATTTGTCACGTTAAAATATCCCTGTACACCAAATTTCGGCATTCTAAACCTTGTCTTTACACGTACCTTGTGTAAACTTTTTGAGTGCCATCTTTAAAGGGCTCTAGCGCCCTTAGGAAGCATTTTCAGACCGGACTTTATATAAAGATTTTGTCATGATTTTTGATGTAGAATCACCTCTTTCAATATATAGACGCAATTTCCGGACAGCCTGTATATTGACTGAGGTGATTAAAAAAGTTTTACAAAATCTTTTCTACGCAAGGGTCGGTTGAAAGTACAAATAGGGTCAAAACGTGCACTATTATGAGTTAAACATATTCCTCAAATTTCATTTTCCTAGCGTTTATGGTTTTTGAGAAAAAAAAATTAAACCAAAATTGTCCGCCATTTTTGGAGGGGTGTAGCTCCTTAGGAGAGCCGAAGTTGCCCATGGTTCATATATCAAAGTACCCTTAAAATTCACTAAAGAATCACCCTTGAAGTTTGTTGCAGTCATTCAGATACACCTGTATACGTATAGTCTAACAAATTTTTTTTCTCAAAAACCGTTAGGGGTTACGGTGTTTTGACAGTCGATTTAAATCGCTAATGTCACCCTCTAAATCATCCTAAAATTTCATCAATTTCAGAAGTGCCCATCGGGGTCAAATTCACCCCTAAAGACCCATCCGCGGTTTATAAGAATGATTTTTTTTCTCAAAAACCGTTAGGGTTATCAAAATTGATAAAAATACTTAGAACTGTGTTCTATTATGTGGTAGAATTTGGCTTAATTCGAAGGTGCACATCAGGGTGAAAACATCCCTTTTACAGGGGTGGGGGTTGAAAAAAAAATTTTTTTTCCAAATGGGGATTGTAAGCTGTTCTTGAGGGTAAGAGTGACCTGTGTGTGAAATTTGGTGACCCAAATCGTATTGGTAACAGAATTATTAATGTTTTAAGTTTATGGCTGGGATTTATGGATAACTTCACACCAGTATAAAACTAACCTGCATAAGTTTCATAAGTAGCTCTTTGATAAATATCTCTTAATGTTTGTGATGCTCCATTAATACCTCTTTGTAAAGCGTTATAAACGATGTGAAGTAATTCTAAAAGTAGAGTGTTTGAGACAATGAGTCGTGGTAATGAGTTTGTTTGACTATTTTCGCTATCCGTTGAAGTTCTATTTCCACCCATTTGGAAGCCCTGATTAATTATTTTAGAAATAACCCTACATATGCATTCAACATTCGTTGCAGGTACACTACTAGCATCTTGATTATATAAAAACACCAAAGCTGTAACAACTCTTTGTCTATTTTGGGCATTTAAAGACTCAACTTGTGGCAATGGGCCCCAATTAACCAACTTTGTGTTGCATTCTTCATATCTTCTTAAAGAATTTTCAGCTATAAAAGCTGGCTCAAGGGTTGATGAGTCATGATAAATTGAGTTTTGGGCAAGACTTGGCACTCGAAACGATATTATCTTTGATTGGCCATTTCCATCTACTACTTCTAAGTTGTAGAGGCTTAATAATAATGTTTCAATTTCTGGATATACTTCCTTTGCTGATAAATGGAGCCAAACAAAACTCGGAATGTATTGCATTACAAACCTTCGTAAAGACTTTTCGCCAGAGCGATAAAAATTAAGAAATTGTTTACATATTCTTTCTATTAACTAAAAACAAAATAAATTTAGTAATAATTCACAATTTTAACGTTAACTTACATCCGTTTTTCGACTTTGTTGAGGTTCTTCTAATAAAGCAAATAAAGCCAACATAACCTCTTGATTATGTTCTTGTTCGGTAGCGTAAGTGTGAATTTCGCTTTCTGTTAATGAATCGTACTCCTCCATCCAATCCAAAACTAGGATATCAGCCATTATTGCTTCCTTCAAAATTCGCAAAGCACGAAAAGAAAATCGTACGAATTAAATTCGATGACAAGTGGTTATTGGAAAATTAGAGGTTATCTCCGATCGTGAACGAACGACATAAAATTAGATAAACGGTACGCGGTGCTGTTTAAACACAAGGTCGTAATAAAAAAAATTATAAAAACATATTAAATATATTTGCAGGTGATGCAGTTTTGGTTCTTTTTTTGCTATTCGAAGCCTTAACGCCTAAAATATAAAATTAAAACGTCAAATTTGCGTTAAACACGCTTGCCAACTGTTTAAATTTTAAATTACTACATTTTTTTTTAGTGATTTTTAGACTTTTTTAGTGCCTAATGTAAATAATGAAATATTACCAAATATCTTGACATTTCAAATTAAAAAAATTTTATAAATATAAATTAATATTTTAAAACTGATATGAATAAACGTTAACCGCTTGATAACCACTTATTAAACTGTGGGGTTGAACTCGGTTTTATTAGTTTTGGTTCGATTTCACTTAACTTTTTAATGCTCCAATACCTAGTAATCTTCACATGAATTATTTACAAGTGTCTTCTGCCTTTCGTGACCTTAAAATTTCGTTTGTCGATAGGTTTTTAGATATTTATAAAGTAAACGTCACGAATAACCCATATATGACGTTTTTTGAAAGCTTTATTAAATAAAGAATTAAAAGAAATGTAAGGGATCCTTAGAAGCAGGAAAAAGGTATTTAAGCCCCTTCGTTTCTCTTAATTATTTTATTCTTTTAATGTAACGTTTAAAAAACAATATAAAGTAATAAAACTTATCCATAAAGATTACCAGGAAATTCTGTATCAGAATCATTATCATCTCTATCTTGATCTTCATCAATATCTTTTCTTTTCCTACTATAAGCTCTTTTACTGGTTGTTGGAAACACATCAGTTTCACCATGAACCAAAGAATTTCTATATACAAGTAAAGGTTGCCAATCTTCACCACGACTACTCGGCATTCCCGTTGCTATTCTTCGATCCAAAAAGGATAAAACGACTTTTTTATCTTGTTTTAAAAGTTTATTAGTAAATTCCGACATGATCTCCAAAAAAGGAAGATTCGGTGGAGGTCCAGTGGGATCTTCAACAGTTTCAGCTCCGCTCACAGCGAATAAAATCCCCGCTCGATGTAATGCGGTAATTGCTTCGCGATTTTTAACAGCATCCAAACCAAAAGATAGCGCAAATCTTTTCGCTAATTCTTTTAACGCGAAAAATTCTTCGTGATTTCTCGTAACCCTTTCACCGTTTGTGCTTAAACTTTGATACATCATACTTAAACTTAAACACATCGTTAAAGCGCAATTAACTTTATTAATTTCTCTTGCTTTACTTAAAGTTGCTTTGATTATATCGCCGTAATCGTTATAGTATTTAACGTAATGTTTAAAAACATCGGCTCCTGCTTTTGTAGGCATTATATTATAAACAATTAATTTACTGTAGGCGGCTAAAAAGTTTCTTTTTTTATGTAACTCTTCAATACGATGTTCATCTTGATCGCCTTCTTGTTCGGGGGTAAAAACGTATGTTTGAACAAATTCATTTAAAAGTAATTGAAGATTTCGGTCTGGTTCACAAATTAATTCATGCAAAAACGGCGCTGTACTGTGTAGTTGTTCGCTGAAAACTATTAATAAATCGCAAAGGGCTACATAGGCTTCCTCGCGAAGGATTTGGTGAGGAGAAGAACGGATTATATCTTGAGCAGCTTCTATGAATGTGTCTAAATTTTCACGAAGTTCTTGAACACCTTGGTTTGTTAAGCCTCCACCTTCGTGAATTATTTCAAGACTTTTTAATGCCCAAAGTAAATAATAAAAACATGCACTTAAACAATATTTTAAAGCTTCCGGTGGTAAAGAACTATCTAATTCCTAAAAATAATAATAATCAATTATCATTACTTATATTACGATTTGACATATAAGTTAAGAAGGAATACTATCTTGTAACTTTTTTCTTATTGGTTTAACTCTTTCAATATTGCCGTTTTGAGAGACGTGCGGCTAAACCCGAATGTTTATAGTTCTAGGTCTAATGTTAGTTCTAGTGACAGTGTAAGTGTAAAACTAGAACGTAAACTAGACCTAGAAACTTTCTAGTTCTAGGTCTAGTATTAAGTGTAAGGAAAAACATTTGGGTTCAGCCATCTTAATGCTTCCTTCACTATTCAACAATGATATCCAAAAGTGTTTATGTGGAGAAAAATTTTTTAAATAGTCCAAAAAGATCGATTTTTTGAGTAGCCACTATGCCGATTTGCAGCTTCTATAGCCGAGATGTATACAGTTGTAATTCCACATTTTCACACAATAACAAAGCAAAAAATGTTTAATTTAAAGGTAATATTAACTCCATACAAGTAATAAGTGGAGTTAGGACTGTTTACCTCTCGGCTATAAATTTGAAAATAGGCTGTAGTTGATCGTTAATAACTGGTAGTTCTGTGAGTAATACGGAAAAAGGCATTTGTCGTCATTTACTTAATCAGTGTTTCTAAGAATTTATTGTAAAAATGAGTGCAACTCAATACCAAGCACGAAAAGGAGTAAAAGGTGATAAAAACAAGGCGTTTAAAAAAGGTACCAAAGGCTGCAACGCTCAAAATCGTTATACGCTAGAACAGCCAGTTGAGAACGTAGGAATATCAGCAAAAAAATTGAAGCTATCGGAGGATAGTTATGACTACTGTATACTTTGATCTTCAACACTATTCATAACCTTACCTGAAGTGTGTCGCAAATGCCACAAGCTAGTGAAATTCACCGAAGACAGTAAACAAGGGTTGGGTTTCAAAATTATGGTTAGTTGTGATGAATATATATATAGGGGCACACTATACAGGTGTCCGGTATCTTCCGCATCAGAGCATTATACGGTTGTAGGATACATTATTCTGCAGCGATCTTTCTAATAAAATTTTTTCGAAATGTTTATAATAACCGCACGGAAACTGTTTTTCGACGTCCAATGGCCAATCGTAAATTAGATTCAGGTAATCGGCCCAACCCTCGGCCGGACCGATAGATAACCTAATAGATTCGACACGGGAAGAGAAATAAACTTTTTCGGTGAATCATAGTTTTCCGCTATTAGACAATAGCGGATGACTTCAAACAGTTCCCGTGCGGTTATTATAAACATTTCAAAAAAAATTTATTAGAAATATCGGTTCAGAATAATGTATCCTACAACCGTATAATGCTCTGATGCGCAAGATACCGGACACCTGTATATACACAGTGTCTCAGCGAAACCAGTCATTAGACGATTCTGGGGTTCTGGGCAAAATAAAAACTTGAGAATTCAGATTTAAGTATTATCAATTGCGTTCTCTTCGACTAAAATATTTTCAGATTTCTAACACTTCCGATTATACTGGAAGTCGCCACCTACTTTATTTTTTAAATGGAACACCCTGCATATTTTTACAAGTTTGGATTTGTCTGTTTTCAAGGCTTATGAATAACTTTACATTCTGCAATTTGATTCAGCCGTTCTCGAGTTATTCGAATTTTTCTAGAAAAATTGCAAAAAGTAAAGTTATTTATAAACCATGAAAACAGACAAATCCAAATATATAGTGTTCAATTTAAAAAAATTAAGTAAGTGGCGACTTCCTGTATAACCGGAAGTGTTAGATATCTGAAAATATTTTAATCAAAGAGTTATTTTCGCCAGAATCCCAGAAACGTCTAATGACCGGTCTCGCTGAGACACCCTGTATACAGGATGGTTCAGTTTTTAATCGGGAAACTTTACTATGATGTAGTACTTGCCAAAAGATTGATTCAATAAATTATTATTATTATTAAAATAACACCCGTTTTTTATATAAACATAGGGTCGCAACTCCTTTGTTTTCGAGCTATGAGCGATCAAAGTTGAGCCAAAAATTTACATTTTGTTTTGTATTTCCGTGTAAAAAAATAAAATATCGTGTCATGTACCGCTATGTGCCGCCATGTGTAGCTAAAATTATTCTAAATGTTGGCTCTGAGAACTTGTAAGTTTGATTTATGGTGTATCCTCGTAATAGACAACGTAAGCATTGACGTCATAGAGATGGGCGGAGCTTATAACGACTCCAAACATTTTTGTTGTTAACTGTGTTGCTAAACAATAAATCACCATATGCAATTTTTCATTAGTGTTAAAATAAAATAAACTATTTTTTTTCTAAATGATAACATTTCAAATTACATTTTTTGGCGATTTATCGTTAGCAACGAAATTGTTTGGAGTCAGTATAAGCTCCGCTCATCTCTGTGACGTCAGACTTAGGCAGTCTATTGTTGATGATTATTAATAATTTTTGACTGTTATTAAGAAGCAAGAGTATCAATTTTTTAATGTTGTTTACAACAACGTAATTTGTTCAGACAGACATTCATCTTATTTATGGTTTTTCTTATAAAAATCACAATTAATTGGTGTTATTTAATTAGTACTAGATCCTAGTAAGTGCACAATTTCCATAGCCAGCCATAAAGAAAAATTTGTTTTTAATAATAACAGCGCTTTACAGTACAATGTAGCATATTTTATTTTTTTACGCTAAAACTATTATCTTTAAGGAAAAAACTAAAGAGACTACTAAAGACAAAATGTAAATTTTTGGCTCAACTTTGACAGCTCATAACTCTAAAACAAAAGAGTTGCGACCCTATGTTTATAAAAAAAACTTGTGTTATTTTGGCAAGTACTACGTCCTAGTAAAGTTTCCTGATTAAAAACTGAACCACCCTATATATAAAAAGCTGTCCAAAAATTAATAATAAGGCATAAGAAATTAACAAACGGCTGATTTTTGTCATGCATTTATTAGACATTGGAATAAATTAATTTTTTGCTTTTTTGGATTTGTCACTCGCGTTTCAAAAGAGTTATGATCAAATTATCAACATTATTCGCGAGGTATCTGAGACTATTTGTGAAGTCGATGAAAAATGCTGCCCAGCAAGAAAAAGAGAAGACATAGAGTTGATAATGGCGAAAATAATGGAATCACCGTCTCAGGTGATGAATCCTGGCGCAGAAGAGGATTTTCATCATTTTTCGGAATTGTTTCGTTGATAGGATGGTAGACTGGAAAATTTGTTGAAGTTGTGGTGAAAAGTAAATGTTGTAAGGCAAACTTGACATGGAAAAGTAAGGTAGATACACCTGAGTACATGGAATGGAAAAAATCTCATGGAACAGTGTGCGAGGCGAATCACGAGGGCTCGGCTGGAAAGATGGAAGAAGTTGACGGAGCGACTGAAATGTTTTCTCGCACAAATGAAAAAAATGGTGTTACTTATATTAATATGTGGGTGACGATAATAATGCTTCAATCACGTTCAGAAAAGAATGGGAGCACGGCTCCAGAATCTAGGTGAAGACTAAAAAATTGGGCGGCAGAGATGAATTAACAGGCAAGTTGATTGTTGAACTTACAATTTATTATGGATTGGCTGTACATAGACACTGCAACTCTATCAAGGATATGAAAAAGCTATTTGGGCCAGTTTATATCATAAAATTTCGACCAATGAAAAGTCTCAACATCACTTATACCCGCAGGGCCCAAGATCGTGGTGTGCTTGGCAATTACGAAAAGTAGTTACAGGAGATTAAAATTAATCACGAGCATGATCCAGCAATGGTAACTGAAGTTTTTGAGAGTATAAAACCTATTTACACAGAGTTGAGCAGCGATGAGTTGATAACGCGTTGCTTAGGTGGGTTTACTTAAAACTCTAACGAAACTTTAACGCAATGATATGGTCAATGTCTTCAATAACTGTTTCCAGTGGGAAAGTTATCGTCAGCTGTATCGTCGAAAAAGGATCAGGAATAGAAGTATGTTAATGTTGAAGGTCAATTGTATGGCCCAGGTATTGCAGTAATAAAATTTAACAGTTGAATACTTGGATCATTTAAGATGTTTTTCGAAATGAGCGACCAACTAGCGCCTTCAATTTTCAACCCAAATTTCAACTGCAGATTTCTAATGATATTCTCAAGTGAAGTATTTAGAATTTTTTCATTGAAAATATTTTTTTTCTTCATATTAACACCATTTGTGTAATAATTAATATTTCTTACAAATCCTACATACTTCTCTACATTTAGGCATGCTCTTCCATTTTGGCTTTTTCTTCTAGATGAAAAATTGCGACCAGTAGGTGGTCGCCCATGCAGATCAACATGTTCCATTCGTTAACAATAATTGTACTGCCGTTTTGTTTAAAATAAAATAAAAATAAATATGTTTTCTTTGAATAAAATTGTTCTCTGTGACTTTACATACACATGTCTTACCCATGACTTTGTACACACAAGTTAGTATTACCCCTTAATTAAATTTATAAACTAATTTCTTTTTACCTTTACATCTTGAAATAAAGAATCCCATAAACTCCACTGATTCAAATTATGCGAAGCATAAAACAACGCAACCTTTTTTAAAGAACTGACCACACTAAAAATTTCATCAGTATTCGGGGTTTCTTCCCCCAATAATAAATTTCTCCAATCATCAATAGCTTCTTTATAAGCCGCGACGATCATATCGATTATTGTAGATCGGGAAACATCGCATCTTGTATAAATTGAATGACCCTCTGTGCAAAGTATTTCTAAAGTTTTTGCACAAGTTTCTAACACCTAAATATAAGGAGAAAAATAAAAAAAATCCACAATTATCAACAAAAGATTAATTATTTATTTTTACCTCTGGTTCATGATGTACTTGTGCGATGTGTTTTAACTTAGCTAATAAAGCTTGGAGCGATCCTTCTTGTCTTCCACTGGTGTAAAGATCTAAATCAAAATATTGTGGAATTGCTAAAAGATTCGCTAATTTTTCTGGATCTGCTGAATATTTATCAAGTAAAGGTGGAAGAGTTACAATAAAATGTTCCGTTAACTTTTGTTTATCTTCTCCAGCCTAACAAAAAATGAAAATTAAAAAATTATATATTTATTTTTATTTTTAATCAAACCAGTTTAATTTCTCTCAAAGAAGTAATTTTTCTTGTTGGCCCTCTTCCAACTGGTGCTTCCCCCGTAGCGGCTTGTTTCACACAACAAACCATAATTTCAATTAAACTTGTTTCTTGTCGATTATCCAAAGGTTCCTCCAACGGTCCAGGTTCTTCCAACAACAAATCAGTCATACACTCCCAATCTTTCATCATTGTATTTGATTCAATTAATGAATCAACTAAATATGCAGCATGCTCATGCAATTCCGATTCAATAAAAAATTGAACCAAATCCCTTATAAACGGCGTGTTCGGTAATCGTCTTTTACCCCGTTTTGTTTTCCCTGCGTCCATATCGGTTGGTTGAAACAACCTTTCATTTAAAAATTCTCCAGCAGCTTGAGCGACAGCGCGATGAGAAGAATAAACCAACTCATAGACATGTTCGCAATCCTTGTCAGTTAAAATTTCATGATGATGTTTTAGAATTGAAATAACCAATTTAACAGCTTGAACGGCGACGTCGTATTCTTTATCTAAAGTCATCGCGACAATTCGATCTTTGAATTTGTTTGTGAAAAGTTCTAATTTTCCTTTGAGTTCTTCGCTAGCGTAAAGTGGTTGTAAAGCTTGAAGACATCTCAATCGAACCTCACCGACTTTATCGTGTAAAGTCCAACCAATATATTTTAAATACGAATCATCTAAGAAATTCGCGTGGAATTTGTGCATCCAAACCCCAATTTCCGACATCGCAATAGCTCGAATTTCAGGTAAAGTATCGCGATAACGATGCACAAATACTGATTTAAACATGTACGTTAACATGTTTTTAATTTCATCCATATTTTCTTCAAGTTCTTGACGTTTTTGTAACAATGATTCTAAACGATCACTCGCGCGTTTCTCGCGGGTTTTTTGCCTTTCCGCTTCGTATTGTCTTTGAGTGTTATCTAAGTTTATTGAGACTGTTAAAGCTACATCTACTAATGCTGTCATTAGTTTCATTGCACCTAATGTTGCTGTATGCCGAAATGCGCGAACCTAAATTACAAAGAATTTTAATTGGAAAAATTCAAGAATCATCATGTTGCTTAAAAATCGACGAGTCTTTTTTTAATCGATGTGAAATGATTAAAAAAAACACGTTAAAAATAAAAAGACAGTGTGGAAAAGTGTAAAACATATCGAAGAACTACACTAAAGTTTCGATCACAAAACGTGACGTCACAAGCAATGTTAACCATGCATTTTCCTATTAAACCGGTCAACACCTAACCAACAAAATGTTTATTTTATTGCCACGTACAAAATCAATCTGATAAACTTAAAAGTAAAGTTATTTTCACTAAACTAGGTGAGATTACAATGTATCTTTTCGGATGAAATACCTTTGTTTTACTTAGGTTTCAATGCATAACGACTGACTACCTGTCGTTAGATAGACTATGTATCAATAGATTGTGCATCAATAGACTGTTTATCAATAGACTCTGTATCAATAGACTCTTGTGTTAATACTAGAACTAACACTACACCGACAATTAGAAACATTCCTATTTAACCACACGTCTCTCAAGACGGCTAAACCCGAATGATTCTAGTACTACGTCTTGTGTTAGTTCTAGTGATAGTGCTAGTGTAAAATTGGAACTAACACTAGACGTAAAACTAGAAAGTATCGTTTAGCCGTGCGTCTTCAGAATGTTTCCAGTTCTAGGTCTAGTGTTACTTCTAAAAATATGCAACATAGTGATATCTTATGCTAACTAGCGCTACCTACCACTGTCTTCACTAGAACTCACTAGAACTAACATTAGACCTAGAAACATTCGGGTTTAGCCGTCTTTAGAGACGTGCGGCTAAACCCGAATGTTTCTAGGTCTAATGTTAGTTCTAGTGACAGTGCTATTGCAATATTACAATGGTGGGCAAAGTTGGTTTGATGAGCCGCATGCGGCTCTTTCTTTGTTTAAATGTTGCTCCAAGGGAGAGTATATCATAATATAAAATGTATTACAAAAATTACTATTTTACGATATTTAGCTAGGTTTTTGCGATATTCATCCATGGTCACGCCTTTCGCCATGTAAGACGTGTGATTATTTGCTCTAGATGTTGGTTGACTCAATACCATCAGTAACCGCTCACAACCGGTATAATATTACATATTATACATGTTTGAACGTGTTCATGTTATAATTGCAGCCTTTTTATTGTTAATGTCGTTAAAAAATTGTCTAAAGAAACAACAAGGCCTGTTAATCTCACCTCTGCCCACCCCTGCAATATTAGAACCAACACTAGACCGAGAACTAGAAACATTCGGATTTAGCTGCACGTCTCTCAAGACGGCAAGTTATTTTCACTAAACTAGGTGAGATTACAACATATATTTTCGGATGAAATACCCTTGTTTTTCTTAGGCTTTCGATGCATAAAGACCTGTCGTTAGATATACTGTATATCAATAGACTGTGTTAATAGATTGTGTGTCAATTGATACAAAAAGCCACACCGACTGAAATGGCTTTACTTACTATCTACTTACTCGCGTGGATCTGAATGTTAACGTAACAAACCCACCCTCTGCTCCATGCCCAACCCGACATTTGGGAAATTTGCACTAGTTTAAATGTTAATTAACTTGACTTAAGGTCGTATTTCTACACAAAATTCTAAAATAGATCAGTAAACTAGGTGGATCCGAATGTAAGATTTTTTTTCAACAAACCCAAGCCAACCCAGAATTTACAACCCACCCTCTGCTCCATGTCCAACCCGATATTTGGGGAATTCGCACTAGTTTAAATGTTAATTAACCTAACTCAAAGTTGAATTTTTGCACAAAATTCTAACATAAAGAGGTAGGGGTGTGAGGCATCAGGTATAGATTTTAGTTTATAGATGGTAAACAATGACATTTTAGTCGTTGTACGTCGAAAACCTAAGAAAGTACCGTATTTATACAGTTTATTACCGTATTTCACCCGAAAATATGCGTTTTAACCAAATGTGCTGCGAAAATACACTGCCTCAATAAATTATAAAACTTCTACAAAAAAAATTAAAGAAGATACAGTAATGAAAAACTTGTTAGGATTGATAAAGAAACGTAAGGAATTCGAACTGTAACATTTATATCCAAATTGAACGTTTATGGGATTTATAAAAAAATAAATACAAGAAAAAGCGTAAATTATACGCACAATAAGTCTCCATACACCGGCTACCTTAGATTATTCTCCCACTAGTCTTAATTCCCTAGATGCGTATGTACTCGCAAAGAGACTGAGACTACTGTAGTTTGATGTCGTATTCGTGCCATTCAATTTTTGGATATTTATTAAAAATGAGTACAAGAAACCGCCAAATTACACAAAGCATTCGAGATTTGATTGTTAGTTTACGAAAAAATGGGAAATCACTAGGTGAAATTAGAAAAACTGTAAAAAAAGCGCATTCGTCAGTGCAGTATATTATAGAAAATTACAATAGGACCGGGTCCGCAAAAATAAAACTTCGTGAAGGTGTCCTAAAGTGAGTGATCGAAATAAAGGCGCACTATTAAATAAAGTGCGTGAAAATCCTAAGATAAGTGCTTCCAAAATCGCTAACGAACTAAATTCTGTATCTCAAAGCACAGTAAATGCACAAACAATTCGAAATATTCTCCACAGAAATGGATATCATGGCCGCATACCTAGGAAGAACCCTTTATATTACAAAAGAACCGTATAAACTAGCTGGAATTTGCAATACATTTCTAATGACGATGAATTTTGGAAATCAGTAATTTTTAGTGATGAAACAAAAATTAATTTATTCCATTGCGATTCGCGCACAAAAGTTTGGCGAAAACGTAACGAAGCATTCAAACGAGAAAATTTGAGCCCAACAGTTACATGTAAATTGAAGGAGAAGATTGTTATCGTTAACTAACAGATTACATTTTGATATAGAAATAAATGATTTGTTAATTATTTGATATGTCTTCTGATGATGGTTAATAACGAAACCGGTAATTTTCAGGTAAGCTATTGGATCCAGTCATCTTTGGAGGATCCTAGCGCCTCGCCCGCAAGCGACTTCGGCGATTTGAGGCAAAATCGTTCATTTTATATCTTGATAAAGATACAAAATCTCTTATAAGAAAACTTTTACCCTCAAACCGCCGAGGTCGCTTGCGGGAGAGACGCTGGATCTGATGAATCAATACAAAATTCCCAGATTTGGAAGATGCGAGCGCCTCGCCCGCAAGCTACCGCGGCGAATTGAGGCAAAATCGTTCATTTCATATCTGGGTAAAGATATAGAGTCGCTTATAAGAAGACTTTTATCTTCAAACCGCCGAGGTGGCTTGCGGGCGAGACGCTGGATCTGATATATCAATGCAAAATCCTCAGATTTGGAAGATGCTAGCGCCTCGCCCGCAAGCGACCTCGGCGATTTGAGGTACTATCGCTCATTTCATCGTTGACGTTATTTCTATAGTTGACCAAGCAAGTATGCAAATTCCAGAAAATAAGGAAGAAAGTGGAACAACCTTGAAGAACCAACCCTAGCAGAAAAACCGTTTCCATTAATTTAATCTTATACGCATATCAATCTATAAAAGAATGGTTAAGATAACAAAAGAAACACTTTGTCTCAGAGTTTCTTTACGTGCTTCCTCATTGTGGGCAAATATTAAGGTACAAGTACAAGTTTAAGACTTGGTATAGAAATTAAGTTTGAAATGTTCCTGGTCTATTGCAAGCAACATCTAGGTTTATGTAGAGAGTAGATGTGGTCTTCAAGCACTTTTTAGCCCTCTGGCAGCAGTTACTACTCTATTTCAAACAATATCTAGCCTTTTAAAGCAAGTATCAAAATATGGAGGTGGTAGTGTTATGTTATGGGGGTGTATGACAGCTGCTGGTGTAATTTGACATTAATAAATGGTATCATGGATAAACGATGTTACCTTGATATTTTAAAAAATAATTTATTAGAAAGTGCTAGAAATTTTGGGATGCGAGATTATTTACTTTTCAACAAGACAATGATCCCAAGCACACGGCAGAAATTGTGCGCTTATGGCTGCTGTATAAAGTTCCTCATTAATTACATATCCCTCCACAATCCCCAGATCTCAATCCCACAGAACATTTATGGGATGAAATACAGCGCAAAATACGACAACACCCCTTAACAAATTTAAACGAATTAAAAGCGAAAATAAGTAAGGAACGGGACAAAAAAGATCCCGCAGTTACAAAAAATTGGTGGCTTCAATGCCAAGGAGATTAGAAGCAGTTACCAAGAGTAACCAAACTAATTATTAAGAATTATGAAGTTTTTTTTTAAGGTTGTGCGGACACTTGTTATGCCTAGAATTTACGCTTTTTCTTGTATTTATTTTTTTATAAATCCCAAAAATGTTCAATTTGGAAATAAATGTTAGTTAGAATTCCTTAGGCAACCAATATCACAGTACTGTGATATTGGTTGCATACTTTCAATGATGACGTCGGGTCGAAACTGTAAAGTGATTTTTCAGTAAGTTTTACACTAAAAAAAAAAAATGTCGGTTTTTAAGCAACATAATGATTCTTGAATTATACCATTAAAATTATGATGGGAATTTTATGAAAAACTTTTTTACCTGTGAATCTGATAATCCAGTTAACAAAGAAATAACGTTATCCATTAAATACTGATCATAAATAATAGAATATTGACATTGTTTAACCAAAGTTTGCACAAAATCGCAAAAATTTTGTCTAAATTTTTTCCAACTTTGACCAGCCATAATCAAAGGGTACTCTCCACTTTCTTCATCAAATTCCTCGGTCATTTTTCGAATGATACTGGCATGTTCCATAGTACTCTGCATCTGCGGCGTTATCCTACCTTTACACCCGGCAGCATTAATAAAAAATTGCATTAATGAATTCAAAGCTTGCTCCCTATTGGTTTTATAACTTTCAATCCAATCATCAACGATACTTGTTAAACTAGATTTACTTGTCCGAATAATATGATACAAAGCAGTTTCATCTTCGCCTGAACCAGGATGTTCAACATGCTGATTTTTACGACCTGGTGGTCGTCCACGGCCTCTTCCACGTCCCGTTGTTGTTGGATGAGGTGGTGAATGCATGGCGCTCATTATCGGGGGAGGCGCAGTGATACCTTTTGCTTTTGAACGAGTTATTCGGCGTAATCCAGGTGTTGGGGGGGACTCGAACATGCCATCTGAGGAAGAATTACCACCTTGGTCACCATAATTTTCCGTATACATACTGTTATGACCATAATTATCTTGATCTACCGCTGGTGTCATGGGGCTGTCGTACTCGGGGGGCGGCTCGTCCATCCGAATCCGTTTTCCACCTCTTCTATGCATTTTTGGACGCGTTTTTAACAACTTTTTAGACAATATGGGATTTTTTTAGATAATTGTTTAGGTGTAAATACATAAATTGTAAATTTTGACAGATACAGTTAGGTTTTGTTTGGGAGTGAAGTTTCAGTGAAATACTACCAACTTATTTTCGCAGTTTTTTTTATTTAAATAAATTTGATTTAAATTCATATTTTTATAAAAACATCAACTTATAATGTTTAAATTAAAGCCAATTTTTGATTTAAGAATATTAAAACTTAATTAGGAATCGATTTTTACAAGAAAATTTAACATCTAGGGATTTTTAAAAATAAATCAAGATTGTCACTTTAACACATAACCTATAAAAAGAAAACACATTTTTATGTTTGATAAGCATGGCAAGTTCAATGTTGAGTGAGGCCCAACTACAAGTTAAATTCATTACAAAACAAGAACAGTAAATATTCAAATTATCTAATTAAATTTAAAAACTAATTGTGTCAAATTAACTTGTAGGTATGCTGTTCCGGATGTTCCATTCTCTGTTCCAACAAACATCGACGTTAAATCATTAAACAATTTAATAAATAAATTACTAAAAGAACATTCAGACTTCCTAAAACGACTAGATTTTGATTTTTTGGTTTGTGGAGAGCTCTTAAGAACCCCTTTAAATGAGCATTTACAAGAAAGAAATGTATCCATCGAAACGACTGTTGAAATTGAATATTTATTGCGTACGCCTGCTCCACAACCAGAAGATGCTTTATTACATGAAGATTGGGTATCTGGGATACATGTAGCAGATAAATGGTAAATTTCTATAACAAATAATATAATTAAACTAAAAAAAATGACAAATTTGATTTTGCAGGGTGTTAACTGGTTGTTATGATAGTACAATAAATTTATGGACTGTGAAAGGAAATCATACTGTTTCATTAAAAGATCACACAAATATAGTTAAAGCTGTGTCTTGGGTTAAAGAAAATGATCCCACTGGTGGGTTTGTAACTGTTTCCCATGATTTAACTGGAATTTTATGGCATTGGGAACCTGGTGCGACCCCTGAAATTGTTTCTGTCCTCCGTGGGCATGAAAGAGGGATAGATACTGTAGGAATTAGTCCTGACACTAACAGAATAGCTACAGGAGGTTGGGATACTCATTTAAAAATATGGTCAACATTGCAACATGATAGAAATGAACTTAGAATGGAAGATGAACCACCTAGCAAAAAAACTAAAGGAAATTCTATTAACCAGACACCACTACATACTTTAACTGGTCATAAAGAAAGTATTTCTAAAGCTCTTTGGTTAGATAATGAAAATATTTGCACAGTTTCTATGGATCATACAATTAAAATTTGGGATGCAACGTTGTGTGGTTTAAAACGTGAAATGATTGGTCAAAAAGCAAATCTAAGTGCCAGTTGGTCTACATTATCAAACTCTTTATTAGTAACATCAGCGGATCGTCATATTAGATTGTATGATCCTCGAAATGCTGAAGGTTCTGTTTGTAAAGTGACTTATACTTCACACAAATCATGGGTCACCTGCGTGGCTTGGTCTCAATATGATCAAAATTTGTTTATGTCTGGAGGACATGATGAATGTGTTAAAGTTTGGGATACAAGAAGTCCCAATGCACCTCTTTATGATTTAACAGGGCATGAAGGAAAAGTTTTATGTGTTGATTGGTCAAATCCAAAACATTTAGTTTCTGGTGGAACTGATAATAGTGTCCATATATTTAAAAATGTACATTTTAATGGTTGATGAAATTATGATATGTTTAAATAAAAGTGTACCTCTATATAAAAATGAATTTTTTTTATACACACAAACCCTGAAAACAATATAAGCTTAAAAGATTAATGTTTGGGTCAAGCAAAAAATTGTTATTATGAAAAGAGGGTTGTACAACAAATGTTTGGTTTAAGATTTAAGAAAGCTATCTATGTATCAATTTATTAAGAACACTGCTGGTGTAAAATAAAACAACAACAAAAGAATTGACGTAATTTCCTAACAACTATACAGTATAACGTTACAATTGACGTAAATTCATAAATGATGACATCATTTGAAAGTGTACAATACAGCATTATTAAATCCCTAACCCATAAAGTACTCTGCCTACTAACATTTCTTTTTCTTAATTAAGTATTAGTACTTGTTTATTTAAAATATAGTATATTTTATTGCAACAAACTGTTGAAATTTTAATAACAATCTTATATTATTGCAAATTCATGTTTGTGCATCTGTTTCAAATAGAAATAACAAATACCCCAGATTTATATTTAGTAGACCGCCCCGTTTGTGGTGCGAGTTCCCGGCAGCTTTTCTTCTTGCTGCCGAGGCAATTATGTCTTTTAACATCGCGTCCATCACAGCCATTCTGAATCGTTACGACACTCGACGCCGCGCACGGAGATACGCGTAAATTGCTCTAGAACGACGTTACCCGCACCCATCTCTCACCCAAAACTCACACTCATCTCTCGTGTCTCGATCTCTTTGCCGGCAAGTCCTCGTTACAAACGAATTTATTACTTTCAAACGACATGCGAAAACGTTATGGGGTGGATAAAAATTGTATTTTTAGGAAAAAAACGAATTGCAAGATAAACGGATATGAGTTTTGGTTAATGGTTTGTTTGATCGTTTCCGGTGCTAGTTGATGTGATATGACATGAAAACGACGTTTTGAATCATCATCCATCTTTGTTGAGGGTTTAAAAATAAAGTTGATCCATTCTCATTCATTATCTCTTTTTTTAGACATGTTTGTTTAATGTAGAAACTGTTAATTTCCAGTTCGTGGGATAATGTTTATTTTCTTTTTTTCGTGAGAGTCAATTTAAAGAAGATAATTAATTATAATTAATATGATTAAATTTTTTTAATTATTTTTTGACACGGTTTGGGTTGAAGGTGACTTATGCAACAATGTATATAAAAGCTCTGGCAAAGCATACATTTTTAAGGTATTTCCAAGATAGGTTCTCTCCAAGATTGAAATTCGGTTCAATAATGTGTTACTAATTTGTTTGTAATTGTACCATCGTTCATGAATAATTTATAACGTTTAGGCACTATTTGGGCAGTTCAGTTAAATTTGGTGCAACATATTACCATATACAGTAACAGATCATTTCATTTTGATTATTACCATACTTCATTTGATTCTGTGGGAGTAAATACATTTTAAAAACTGATCGTTGTATAATGTGATGAAACGCATTTCCCCAAATTTAATAACTTTTAAGGTCAATATGTAAAAAGAGCTTTGTGCTTGCCAAACTTGTGGATCTTGGGTTTGATGATTGTGCAGCAATGGCTGACAAAGAATCAGATGTTCACTAAAGAATAAACTGAAGTACCCAAAAGCAAACTTCTTCCATAATGCATAATAGAGACTGAATTTAGTTGTTAATGAGTTATGGTCAATTCGGGAAATTCAAAATTGTTCTTCAAGTGTTAACAAAATCATTAAATTTTTTCGGAAAAGTGGTTTACGTAGAAAATTAGCAACAAATTTACCTCTTAAATGCGAAATGAGATAGCTTTATACATTGTCAAAATACATAAGGCACTTGAAGATCGTGCTACGAATCCCGATAGTAAACAAGAATGAAAACTCAACTATAATTGACCGTCTTGTAATTAAACTTCGTTATTGTCATGGTAATAATAGCAAATAATAATTTGTTAACACAGCCTGTGGTCAATGCTTTTTAAGGTATTAGCACAAATTTGCTTGATGTTAAGAACCGCATTTAACCCTTTAAACTGTTAGAGCATATAATAAAAAAAAAATTTTGACAAAAGTGGCAGTAAATTTTAATCTTAACAATATTACTCCCGTTCACTTTTGCTCTCAGATGCGTCAATGTCGAGAAAAATAAGAAAATATGAAAATTTGATGAGTTTTTGCTTTTTCATGGTATAAAAAACTTGTAAAAGAAAAGTTGTAGTAAATTTTATTGTTAACAATACTACTTTGTTTCAGTTTTGCTCTGAGATGCGTCAATATCCAGAAAAATACGAAAATATGAAAATTTGATGAAATTCGTTGTTTTACTAGTTATTAATGGTAATACTGGGGAAACGGAGCATATTACAAAAAAACTTTCAGAACAATATTATAGTTGTAGAAAATTTAATTTTTAACAATATTTCTCTCTTGAATTTTTGATCTTAGATGTATAGATATCAAGAAAAGACGAAAACATGAAAATTTTGTGAGTTTCGTTGCTTTACAAGTTGTTAAAACTTGGGATTCGAACCGTTTTACAAAAAAAATATTAGAACAAAAGTTGTAGAAAAATTTATTCTTAACAATGCACTCTTTCACTGTTGCTCTCAAATGCATCAATATCGAGAAAAATACGAAAATATGAAAATTTGATGAATTTTTTGCTTTTTCAGCTATTAATGGTAATACTTGGGAATCGGAGCATATTACAAAAACAACATTCAGAACAATAGTTGTAGAAAATTTTGTTTTTAACAATATTTCTCTTTTGCATTTTTGATCTCAGATGAATAGATATCAAGAAAAGACGAAAACATGAACACGTTGTGATTTCCGTTGCTTTACAAGTTGTTAACGGTATCACTCGGAATTCGAACCATTTTACAAAAAAATTTTTAGAACGAAAGTTGTAGAAAAATTTATTGTTAACAATATTGTTCTGTTTCACTGTTGTTCTCAGATGAGTCAATATCGAGAAAAATACGAAAATATGAAAATTTGATGAATTTTTTGCCTTTTCAAGCTATTAATGGTAATATTTAGGAATCGGAGCAATTTATAAAAAAACTTTTAGAAAAAAAGTTTTAGTAAATTTTATTGTTAACAATATTACACTCTTTCAGTTTTGCTCTCAGATGCGTCAATAACGAGAAAAATACGAAAATATGAAAATTTGATGAATTTTTTGCTTTTTCAAGCTAAATATTAATGCATATTACATCAATTCTTGATATCAATATTATTAGATATCAAGAAAAGACGAAAACATGAAAATTTGGTAAATTTCATTGTTTTACTAGTTTTTAATGGTAACGTCCGAGAATTAGAGTATATTACAAAAAGCACTTCTATGTAGAAGAAAAGTTGTAGCAAATTTATTTATAACAATATTGCTTTCTTGTACTTTTGCTCTGATAATGAGATGGATATCAAAAAATGTGCAATAAGACTTTTTATGTCAAACAGAATTTCTAAATGATTGAGATGTAACAGGATAAGCGTAAAATGCCCATACCAATGTAACATTTATGCTATTATATCCAATAATGCAATGAAGGCAACGTATAATCGAGGTTCATCGAGAAAATATAGTAATAATAAGAAACTTCGGATTGANAAAGCAAACTTCTTCCATAATGCATAACAGAGACTGAATTTAGTTGTTAATGAGTTATGGTCAATTCGGGAAATTCAAAATTGTTCTTCAATTGTTAACAAAATCATTGTCAAAATACATAAGGCCCTTGAAGATCGTGCTACGAATCCAGATAGTAAACAAGAATGAAAACTGAACTATAATTGACAGCCTGGTATTCAAGCTACATTGTTGTCATGGTCATAATAGCAAATAATAATTTATTAACAGAGCCTGTGGTCAATGGTTTAGGACAAAAGTTGTAGTAAATTTTATTCTTAACAATATTACTCTCGTTCACTTTTGCTCTCAGATGCGTCAATCTCGAAAAAAATACGAAAATATGAAAATTTGATGAATGTTTTGCTTTTTCATGCTATTAATGGCAATACTCGGGAAATGGACCATATTGTAAAACTTTTAAAACAAAAGTTATAGCAAATTGTATTTTTAATAGTTTTACTCTCTTGTACTTTTGCTCTCAGATGCATAGATAGTGAGAAAATATGTAAATATGAAAATTTGATGAATTTCATTATTTTACTAGTTATTAATTATATGATTTAAGAATCGGAGCATATTACAAATAAACTTTTAGAAGTAAAGTTGTAGCAAATTTTATTCTTAACAATATTGCTCTCTAGCACTTTTGCTCTCAAGCGCATAGATATCGAGAAAATATGAAAATATACAAATTTGATGAATTTCATGGTATTACAAGTTGTTAATGGTAATACTCGAAAATCGGAGCATGTTACAAAAAACTGTTTAGAACAAAAGTTGTACAAAATTTTTTTCTTAACAATATTGCTCTATTCCTATATAAATATTGCTCTAAGATGCCTCAATATCGAAAAAAATACGAAAATATGAAAATTTGATGATTTTTTTTTGCTATTTCAAGCTATTAATGGTAATATTTAGGAATCAGAGTATATAACAAAAAAAACTTTTAAAACAAGTTATAGCAAATTTTATTTTAAACAATATTACTCTCTTGTACTTTTGCTCTCAGACGCATAGATAGTGAAAAAATATGCAAACATGAAAATTTGATGAATTTCGTTATTTTACTAGCTATTAATTATAAGACTTAGGAATCGGAGCATATTACAAATAAACTTTTAGAAGTAAAGTTGTAGCAAGTTTTATTCTTAACAAGATTGCTCTCTTGTATTTTTGCTCTCAGACGCATAGATATCGAGAAAATACGAAAAAATACAAATTTGATGAATTTCATTGATTTACTAGTAAAGTTGTTAATGGTAACACTCGGAAATCGCAGCATGTTACAAAAAAATTTTTACAACAAAAGTTGTAGAAAATTTTATTCTTAACAATGTTGCTCTCTTTCACTGTTGCTCTCAGATGCATCAATATCGGGAAAAATATGAAAATTTGATCAATTTTTTGCTTTTT